CTGACTTATCTCTTAAGGGCAAAGCCCAGGCAGGAGACCCTGGGACCCTCTCCTTCCTCGTCCTCTCAGGTTCCCTCTGCGAAGGGGCAACTGCACAGGCACAGGCCTAGGAAGACTCAGCAGGAGCTTCAGATTCAACCATGGTTTATTTTGAGGACGCACTATATGCTAAGCACGAGCTCAGTGCTCCCACAAACAGTATCTCCAGGTTAGGCGGCTGGAATTTCGGCCCTAGAACACCATCCTGAACTCAGACGGCAGCATTTTGCAGACCACTCTCACCAATGCCTCCTTCCCGCCCAGGCCGCTGGTGGTTCTCCCAACCCTGGCCCCTTCTCTCAACCCTCCCCCATCACGCCACCTCCTGCCTTAGACCTTCTCTTAGGGATTTTCCAGCTTTTGGGCAGCTGCCGCCTTTAGTTTCTGGTTATGGAGTCCCAGGAGACTTTTCACCCCCAAATTCAGTAAAGAGAAAGTCCTTCAGGGGTGTCCGTATTCCTGGGCTGGGGGGTTCCAGGGACCGGAAGACATGACACTGCTGGGAAGCAAACTGCCCCACGATGATGTGGGAACCTGGCAGGTCCATGTAGCTTTCTGTTTTCACTCAGTTTCACTTCCTGGTTCTCCTCCAGGCCTTGCACAATGCTGGGAGGCAGGCCTGGGAAAGGGCCTCTGATGGTGAAAGAAACACTGAACCCCTCCCGGGGAGGCCCTGTGGGGCATTTACAGCAGGAGGGGAGGAGGCTGTTTCCTTCTCCTCCTGTGGAGAACTGAGGGTCCTTCTCCACCCTGTCCCAAGGGCTGAGGGCTGCAAGGCCAGGTCTTCCCACGATTGGGGATGTTGTGTCCCTAGCCTGAGCCCCATCCCCCACTGCCCAACCCCTCAGGCCCTACCTCCAACCCAGCACCCTCCAGCCTATCCATCTGCTTAGGATTCGGGGTAACTTCCTTAGTGCATGGACATACACCCTTGATATTTCCAAGTGCTGAACTTTCCATGTGGTTCTCTACAGCCACCAGGTTCTTCCTAGACACACACCCTCTGGGGCCTGGCCAAGGGTATTGGCCTGTGCCACGGGCCAGTAGGGAGCAGGAACGTGGGTGCTGGAGGCTTGCTGGCTAGAGCCAGATTTCTTCTGAGCCTTGGTGACCCTGCAGGAAGCTGGCCCCTGGCCCCTCTCTGTCCTGAGCAGAGAAGGCGAAGCCACAGAGATGGTGAGCAGCTGGCCTGCCTGCAAGAAGTCCCAGAGCTGTCTAAGCCCAAGGACGGCCACCAGCATGGGTTACGGCAGGAACTGGAGCTTGCAGAATTAGACTAAGAGGCCTTTCAGACACTCCTGGCCTCAAATAAACTGATTTTCAAATCCTCATCTTGAGACAAATTGCCAGGAGCTGGGGCATAAGAAGTAGAAGGGATTGCTGAACTGAGTTCTGACACAGCTGAAATTTCAAAGAAATTTAGAGCTGAGAAAAACTTCAAAGGACATCAGAACCAAATCTTTCAATATGTAGATGAAGAAACAAAGGTCCTAGGACAGTGAAAGCCTCATTCTTGTCACAAGATCAAGCATCCAGGACCAGAGTCTGGGTCTCCTGACTCCCAGATGAGCTGTTCCCTGGCCATGCTTGGCCTCGACATCCTCTCCATTTATTTGAAATGTCCTGGGCCTTGCCCATCTGACCTACCACCTCTCCATTGGCCTATGACTCTGCCACACCCACAGCAAGACTCCTTGGGTTTAAAGCCATAGTAAGTCTGCTGGGAGGGAGTGGGGGAGGGGCTCGGGATCAGACCTCAGCTCTCCCAGGCAGCTAGCATTCAGCCAGCGGGGGTCTGGTCCAACAGACAGAGGCCCAAGGCGGCATAGAGCTGAGATATAAACCCAGGAGAAAAACTGATGGGCCTTGGGTGTCTGGGGCTTGTGCCAGATACTGAGCCTGGCAAGGCAGGGTGTCTACTGAAGGCTGGACAGGGCCCTGTGCCACCCTGGCAGCTCTGGCAGGTCTGACTGAGGGAAGGGGGTAAAGTGCAGACCCAGGCTCTGGGCCTGGGACTGGGGTTCCCTGGCTTGGCCACCCTGGCTCTGGAGCCTCTTTTGCATCCTGTCCTGGGGACGGTAGGGGGTGCGCCCAGGGCGCAGGAGTGGGGAGGGAGCCAGGCGTCAGGGAGCCTGCTGCCTTGAACAGGCCAGACGGCGGGGGGATCAAGTTTCAGCCCAGCTGTATTTTTGGCTGGATGGGCTGGGGGCCGAGCTGGGCAGACACAGCTGCCCATAGAGGGGCACCCTCCTCCCCAGTACACACAGTCATACAACCTCTACCCAGACAGGCCACCATCCACCACCCACCCCGCACACACTGCAGGAGGGGACGCAGCATCAGGCCCGTGGCTAGTGAATCACTTTGGGCTTCTGGAGACCGTTGCTGAGTTTCTGTAGGGTTTTCTTGATCCGCAGCGCGGTGAGGCGGGCGGAGGGGTTGGGGTACCAGCACTCCCGCATCATCTGAGCCAGGCCTGAGAGGACCTGGAGGGAGGGAGAGCAAGGCAGAGGAGAGGAAGCAGAGACACGGATCAGGGAAGATGGAAAGGAAGAATCGAGGAGGATACCCGGTAATGGG